AGAGAAAGTGGAAAGTATACTTGAATGCATTGGCACAGGAGAACACTTAACCCCAGCAGCACAGACACTGAGAGAAACAAATAATAAATGGAACCTCCTGAAACTGAGAAGCTTCTGTAAAGCAAAGGACATGGTCAACAAGACATACGACAACCCACAGAATGGGAAAAGATCTTCATCAACCCCACATCAGACAGAGGTCTGATCTCCAAAATATACAAAGAACTCTTTCTTTTCTTAATGGCCTCGTATGGCCACATAGTGTTAGTATGGTCTACTTTTGGGTTGTTAACCAGCAACAAGAGTTAAAAATACCCAGTCTCTGGCACCTGGACAAGGACATCTCTCTGTGTTCTCTCCCTGAGGACTGGCCTGGGAATAGTGCCCCCCTCCTGTGTGCCCACATATCCTCATAGCATTGTGGTCCACAAGAATCCTGCTGCTTTATTATAATTTCATGGAGTACAATTAACAGCCGGTCATAAAACTGCCCCACAGTGGCCAAGTATTCCTTGGCACTGTTTAATCTCCAGGAGTAGATGAATTTAATTTGAACTTAAATGTATGTGAGATCCAGGAAGCCAGGAATTCTGTCTGTTATAAAGATCAGTTTCTTTGAGGAGGATTGAGAACTACCTTTATCTGTGGTATAAGAATAAGTACTTACAATGTAGTTAGGATTTATTCTGGTTCAATAAAGAGGTAGCTGTTGGTTCTCCTGCAAGATTCTTGAAAACACTAGGCCCTATAGTTGACTAGATTTCCAGTTCCAGGCATGATTGCTCTTTAGTTGCCTTAAGACTAGTTAGAGAGTTGTTGGTTACTGCCAAGGTGCCTGCCACTATTGCACCCTTAGGGTTATTGTTCCATGCTGGTTATTGTTGCAGTTCCTAGGCATCATAGTTGGGTGGGACCGTTGGTTGCTTCCCTCCCTTGGAAGCTTGCGTGGTGCCTTATGGTACCATGAAGGCCAGTCCTCAGGGAGGGAATTTCAGGTCAGATCCATCTCAGGTCCTCTGGGTCCTGTGTACAGAGTCCACGGTGTCTTCAGCAATGGGAGCTTACCATCCACCTCTGGGAGCACACCAACGGCAACAACAATAGTCTGTGTTTTGGGAATCTATTGGACAACCCTGACTCAAAAGGGACTTCTCATGTTTGGTGTTGAGGCTTTGGTTAGATAGTGTGTGGTTCTTGTGGGGATCATTGTCAGCTCATGTGGGAAGATTTTATTGAATCCGTATATGTATTCACAAGCTTATATGTAATTTTAGGTAAGTAGTCAACAGTATGATTTCTTATGACCTTTTCAAACATCCTTACTGTTAATCTCCATTCTTCTCCCTAATTAAAATCCCCCTCTATTTCCGTCTTTCCCCCTTCAAATCATTTGGATCCTGATAGTTCCCTGTTTACCACTCCCCCCAACGATGCCCCCCTTGTACTTTCCTGGTTTCTGCAGTTAATCCTGGCTATATATTCACACTGGAAGATTTGGAGTCAATGGCTGTCAATTATTCACCTTTGTGTCCTTGACTTTGTTCTATTGATCTGCATGTCTGTTTTGTGCCAGTACTATGTTGTTTTTATTACAGTGGCTTTGTAATACATTCTGCGATCTGGAATAGCAATCCTTCCAGCACTGCTCCTTTTGTGTGGGGTTGTTTTGGTGACCCGAGGTCTTTTGTAATTCCACAAAAATTTTAGGATAGTTGTTTGTCTATTTCTGTGAAGGATGAGACAGGGATTTTGATTGAGATTACATTGGCTATGTAGATGGTTTTTGTTAGAATAGTCATTTTTATGGTATTAGTTCTGCCACTCCATGAGTATGGGGTGTCTCTCCATTTTTAGTGTCTAATTCATTCTTCAGAGAACTTAGCTTTCATTGGAAAGACCTTTGGTTTCCTTATTTAGGTTTATTCTTAGATATTTTATTTTCCTCAAGGCTGTTGTGAGGGGGAACGTGTCCATGACCTCTTTCTCTGTATATTTATTGTTCTATTGTTCATGTAAAGAAAAGCTTGTTTTTTTGTTGTTTTTGTTTTTTTTTTGCAAGTTGATTCTAGATCCTGCTACACAACATGATAATAATTTGTAAGATTTTCAGTATTGGTCATTTTGGCCATATAGCTTTGAAAGGTGGATTTGTTTCTGTTGCACTAAAATCTATGTCAAAACTGGTTGTACAACCCTATTCCAGGAGAAATAGCACCCTGTTTTAAGGTAGCTTCTCTATATGTGTGTCTGTGTGTATCCTAGGAAGGGCTTTGGGCAAATAAGTTTAACTCCTTTTTTTATTGCCTAATTTTATGATATTCCTGTTTCTTTTCTATAGCAATATGGATCTCAGTCTCTTCCAAGATAATTTTATTGCTTCCATTTAAAAACAGAGACTTCCAGAATTTGTCCTGAAGCCTGGAATCAGGTCCATGTTGTGTATGTGGTGGTGACAGGGGTGTGTTTTCTTTGATGATGCTGACTGAGGTGCTGTGTGAGACCCTCCCTTTTCTCTCTGGTATGGGTGACAAGGCACAAAAAAGGTGGACCTCTGATTTCCTTCCTTGTTTTTCTTAAAATGGAGTTTGGACAGTCAGTGGAATGGACCAAGAGGGAGTGATTTTCCAGAATCTATGACCCCTTCTTGACAGTTTGGTGTATAGTCTTAAACCTGTTCTTACAGAATAGAAAGGCAGAGCAAGGCCTCAGAGTTCTAGGTATCTGTAAACCTTGTTGATTCATGCATTTAAGTTTGCTTTGATTGTCTTTTGGAAAGTCTGATAGAATTAGTTCTCAAAGGAGAGCCTAGAGCTTAGAAATCTAGGCTTAGAGAACACACACAGACACACAGACACACAGACACACACACACACACACACACACACACACACACACCGTTCTCATAAGGCAGTAAAATTTAGGTCTCTCTCCCTAACTCACCCCCATGGTGGACTAGACTCCAGCTCTGGGCTTCATCTTGTGCTTGCTAACAGGGTGATTGTGGGAGACTACATTGGTCCCTCCAGCCCACCTCTCCCTCTGTCCATATGGATGAAATCACTTACGCTTGGAACCTGTTTTGATGGAAGGGCTTTGAATTCCCGTGCCATAGTCTTATTCTGGTATGGGGATTGGTTCACTCGCATGTGGAGAATTACAGTCTCTCCTGCATGCTCCTGCCTCCTGAGAAGCAAGCGTGTGGGACACTCTCAAGGACTGTATAATATGTGAGATGGCTTCATCTTGCCTCTACTTCCTGCCATGCTGTTTCTTCTTGTTCTCTTTCTAATTTACATTCTGGCTGTATAGCAGGCAGACCAACATAAGCACAGTTAGAACAGGCTCTTAACTAAGAATCAACCAGACAGGCAGACATTGGAGCCCCAGGTCACTTTCATATCTGTTGTGTTTGAGGGTGATGGTGAAGCTGATCCCATAGAGATTTCAGGTTCCCAGGGGAATAGTGGTCTGTCCAATGACCCTTCTTCTAGGGTGTTGACAATGAAGGTTGTCAGCTATTTGTGTAAAAGGCCCTCACATTTCTTAACTGGTATTATTTTTGAATTAGGAGTTGCTAGAGGAGAAACAAAATCGTTGAATTAATCTTCAGTTCCATTGAAAGCTGCCATTGCTTTATAAGACATTTTACTTCAAGTGTTTACATAGGCTCTTGCTAGGGACTATTAACATACCTGAGAAGTTGCTAACGTGCAGTTTATCATGAAGATTCATTTTTCACTTTAGTGCGTTCTGGTTTGGGACAGGGCTCTAGGTCATCTTCAGAGTGAGCACTAGTATTTTCAGTATTGTTAGTATTTGGTTATAGTTTCAGTCCAGGAGCACGCAAGGCTGTGTCTGTGATATGTTGAATGGTCATTGCTTTTTAATACTATGATTTAATAATAGATTGTAATTATTTATTATTTATTTTTTTGTGTGTATGTTTTTGAGACATGATTCCTATGTAGCCCTGGCTGTCATGGAACTCTCTCTGTAGACCAAACTGGCTTCAAACTCACAGAGATCTGCCTGCCTCTACTTTCCATGTGCTGGAATTAAAGACATGTGCTATCACTGCCTGGAAGACTGTATTTATTTTTATTTTATTTGTGTGTTTTGTGTGTGTGTGTGTGTGAGAGAGAGAGAGAGAGAGAGAGAGAGAGAGATAGAGAGAGAGAGAGACAGAGAGAGAGAGAGAGAGAGAGAGAGAGAGAGAGAGAGAATATGTCACATGTGTGGGTACCAAGGAGTCCAGACAAGGGCGTTGGGTCCCCTGGAGCAGGAGTTATTGAAGGTTGTGATCTGCCTCATAAGGGGTGCTGGAAACCAAACTGGGATCCTCTGCAAGAGCAACAAATATTCTTAGCCACTGAGCCCTTGTTGACTGTATTAGTATTAATTCTTCTTGGATAATTTTATCAGCTTATTCCTTTTCTATGATTTAAGTTTCCTAACGCTAGAGGATGACCCTGAGATGCGGCTTAGTTCATTGATCGATCTCAGGCAGAGGCTGGATTTCTCCCCTAACCATGTTCTGTCTCTTGATCAGTGCCCAGCTTAAAAGGCACAGTAAGGAACCAGGCAGGTGACTCATTGGTTACAGCAGTCCTATTCCTTCAGAGGACCCGAACTTGGTTCCCAGCACCCACGTTAGGTGGCTAGTAACCGATTGTAACTCTAGCTTTAGGGGATCTGACACACCAGTACATAATTTAAAATAACTATTTTTTTTAAAAAAAAGTCTCAAGAAGGATTTATTTCTGTATCTATTCCTGGACTGAAACAAAAACTTAAAATATCCACATTATTACCAAGTCCTATCTGAATGGCAAGCGTAAGTGAAGGAAGCCTGGACAGTTGAATTTGCCTCAGTTATGGTTCTCATTTTGACTTCGCAAAATCAGTCTTTAGAGCCCAGGGGAGCTTTTTGGGCCAATTCAACATGCCTGTCGTGTGTAAATCTTGTGACATCATTCATCAGTGTCGTTTTCTCTCTCCAGTTCTGTCAGGAGGACCGTTGCCTCAGGGACATGAGTTTGAACTGTATGAAGTCAGATTTCACTGGGGAAGAGAAAACCAGCGTGGTTCTGAGCATACAGTTAATTTCAAAGCTTTTCCCATGGAGGTAAGACTAATCATCCTGTAAAAATCTCATTACTTAGTAAAGAATTCGGCAATTGACTGAAAATAGTTATTTTGAACGTAGATGGGTAACTCTGGAATTTCATATTTGTGCGGTGATGGAGGAGTGCCTAGGAAAAGTCAGCTGGGGGCTGCTAATTAGGCCCACTGTGTACATTCATCATCACCCATGCCGCCTCACGTCATAGAGGACACGCAAGCACACACTCACGCACGCACGCATGCACGCACGCATACACGCACGCACGGCTGAAGCAATTCATGAATTCACATACATTCTTTAATACCCAGTTAAAGTATCATATTTCCTATTTTACCTTTTCTGGGTTCCTGGCCTGGGTAGAATTCATCATCCCGTTCTAATCTCCTAGGGGACTTGATGATTTCCTGTCATGCGCTCACCCCGTGGATTCGCTCATGTCTAGTCAGTCCACTGACTTCTTTCGCTGTGGTATTTTGAGGACAAGGTCTCCTATTCATTCCAGTGCTGCCTCTTCTCATGTACCTCCTGCCAGGCTCATCACAAAAGTTCGTGAGATGATGGGATGTCGCTGCTGGTGCAGGACTTTTTCTGTATTTCTTTTCGTAAGGAATCTTAGTTCTCCCCAAGAAGCAGATGTTCACTGGGATCTAAAAACCAACCTCCCTTCCTCTCATTCTCCATCCCTCCCTCTCTCCCTCCCCCCTCCCTCTCTCCCTTTCTCTTTTCCTCTGTCCCTCTCTCCCTCCCTGTTGTTTTAATTAGTTTCTAAGGCTTTACACCTGAACTACATCAGGCCTCAACTTCACCTCCATGTCTAATCATATAGACAGCCATCTAGTGGCTTCTCTGATTCGGATACCTGGCAGACATTACAGAGTACAGATCATCTAACATCTTCTTGAGAAAGAACTGCTTTGAGGTTTGCTGCAATACTAGGCTTCTTTCTCTGTCATCCACACTTTGGATGTTCATCATAGTAAGGATGAAACCATTCCTGGCCAGATGCCGTGTGTGGATCTGCCTCCACGAATCAAAATCACTACTGTCTAATTTTATATACATCATATGTGGATTGTACAGGATTACACTGGGATATTTTCCAGCATTTTCTTAATAATTTCTTAAAACCCCCCTCGGAAGCTCAAGAGACTCGTTTCATTCAAAAGAAGCCAAGCTTAAAAGCAAAACGCTTTGAGGATGGAGGGAAACCCTGAATAGCGGTTTATTGTATGAAGAGGGTGCCAGGACTCCAGAAGAGACGGTGGCATCACGATTCTGCTGAGGAAGGTTCCATGCACCTCCTTGCTCTTGGCTTCTTTGCATTTTTTTCCCCTCCAAGGCATAGAGACATTCTCTCATTTCGACTGCTTTAAAAAAGCATTTCACATCACCTCAGGCTTCTGTCCTGTCCTGAGCAGACATGAGAAAGACGAGTGTGTCCATACAACACCAAAGAGGAAGGGAGATGTTGGGCCTAGCAGCGGGAGACAGGGAGCAGGTCAGAGGGCAGGAGGGGCAAGCTTTGCCCGCCTGTTCGGGTTTGAAAGTCCGTGTCATCCTGTGGTTCTAACCAGTACTCAGAGGCAGGGGTACAGGGGGAGATGGGTGTAATGGAGAATTTCCTGACCTAGTGGTGAGGTAGGTTTAGTCACTTGGTGGTGTTTTAACCGCTCTGTCCCATTAAGCACAGGAAACAGTTTATTTTTAGTGAAGATTAAATGCTGGCAGCGAGGCTTTGCTTCTGTAGAGATATTTATATTTGGGATAATGGAATTACTGACTTTATTTTTTCCAGCATCATTAAGGAGTGGTATTTGTATTCTTTGTTATCCTAGATCATCCTGATGTAATCCCTGGGAAAACACTTACATCAGTCATCTGTCATCTGCTTGGCCTGTGTTCTAGTGGTGTGTCAGAGCTGCAGTCTCACAGGATTTAGAGGAAGCCTGCTGCACCGCAGCCCTTAGAAACAAAGGATAGAGAGCCTAGAGAGATGGCTTTGTGTTTAAAACACCCACTAATCCCACAGAGGTCCCGAGTTCGGTTCCCAAGCACCCGGGTCAGATGAATTTCAGCTACTTTTAACTCCAGATCCCTCTCTTCTGACCTCCATTGCTAGTGCGCACACACACACACACACACACACACAATTAAGAATAAAAATTAACAACCTTAAAATAAAATTAAGGCTATAGACAAGGAGCTGGCTCTTAAAAAGACGACTCTCCTGGTGTGGTGACAGAGAGGGAGGATGCCAAGTGGGAGAACATTCCAGGGTCTGTAATGAGATGACAAATGAGTGTTTGCTTAGATAACTATGTACTCGTCTCCGGCACCGAACAGTCACTAAGAACACCTCCAGTGTGAAAATGTAGTCAGCAGGATGGAGAAAGGTGAAGGATAGGGTATCCTTTAAACACAAGAATAATTTTCAGTTTTCTCCCCTGGGGATGCTGTGCATCTTTTCTTGTCTTCTTCTTCCTTCCCTGTCCTTCCTCTTTTTTCTTCTCTCCTTCCCTTTTCTCCTCTTCCTCTTTCCCTCTCTTTTTTTCTGTTTTGTGGTTCTCGGCATGGAACTCAGCATCTGCCTCATAGGCTAGTTAGTGCTCTACCACGGAGCTACTTCCCAGCCCTTGTGTAGAGGTTAAGACTAATGTCAGAACCACATATTCTGAGTCTTCCCCCCCTCATTAGGAATTCCGTTTTAAATCATCTTTACAGTTAGTTCTCTGAGAACTCAGTCTAGAGGCAATAGCAGCAGCAACCTGACTCTATGCACCCTTTTTAGTGATTACTTGCTGAAGGGCAAGGGTTCTATTACGAAAGTCCTCCCCTGTGCCTGTCCCTTCAAGTATTTCTTCCCTGAATTTTTCCTCTAATAGTTTCAGACTTTAAGTCTTACATAAAGTTTTTGATCTGTTTCGCCTTGGTTTGTGTACATGATGAGAGATAAGGATTCAGTTTCCCCGCTTGCTTGCGGAAATCTATCCCCAGCACCTTTTCTCAAAGAGGCTGCCATTTCTCCAATGGGTATTATCCAATCATTGTCAGAAATCATGTAGCCGTAATTGCGTTGGTTGATTTGTCAGTTCTTTATTCTAGTTCATCAATCTACGTGTCAGTTTTTGTGCCAGTAGGGGTTTTGATGATACAAGTCTTCAGTACAACTCGAAATCAGATGTGGGGAGACACTTTCAGTGTTCTTTTCCTTGCCCAGGATCACCTTGGCTATTAATATAATATCCAGGATCTTTTGTGCTTCCTACTGTGATGGGTAACTTAGCAATTTGATGGGCATTGCATTGAGTCTGGGGATCTGTAGGATGCTTTTGGTAGCATGCTTATTTTTACAATGTTAATCCTTCCAGTCCATGAGCATGAGAGCTCTTGTTGACTTCTGGTGTATTCCTTGGTTTCCCTCTCCATTGTTCTAACACTTTTCTTGCTGAAGTCTTTCACTTCCTTGGTTAGTTAGTTTTGTTTCTTTTTTTCCCCCTCCATAATTGCATTTGGGATTGTTGCCTTGATTTTGTTTCTCAACCTGTTAGCTGCTGGTGTGTAGAAAGGCTACTGTAAGAAATGCTTACTTTGCAGAAAGCATTCAACTCCACAAATTTGCTGGTGGCTCCTTAGGGTCTCATATATAGGACCATATTTATTTCTCTTTTATTGCCTCCTACTTCCTTGATCTAGCTGAGACTTGAAACACAGCCTTGGGCTAGCGTGGTGTTTTTGCCTTCTCTTGACTTAATGGGCATGTTGTGAGTTCTTTTTCACTAGTCCACTTTGGTTGTAGTTTGTCATAAATAGCTTTATTATATTGAATGGTGGATATATCTTCTATGGGTAATGAATTTTGTCACAGCCCTCCCATGTTTCTATTAGTTTACCTTGTGAGGTAATTTTTTGGGTTTGTCCATTTAATTTATTATATTTACTGATTTGCGTGTGGGGAACCATCTCTGCATTTCTGGAATGAAGCCAACTTGATCATGGTCAGTGAATGATCTTCTTACTGGGCTCTTAAGTTTACTTTGCAAATATTTTGTTCAGAATTACTTCAGAAAGATTGAATTATAATTTTCTTCTTTGATTGCATCTTTATTCAATTTTGATGTCAGAGTAATGCTGGCTCATAAAGAGTTTGGCTTCATTCCTTAAGTGTCTCTTTTATACAATAGTTTGGGAAGCCCTGAATTCTGCTCTCCTTTGAATATGTTAGGATTCAACAGTGAGTCTATCTGAACATTTTATAGTTGTTGTTACTGATTCATTCTCATTATTTATTTCAGGTCTGTATATAAATTATTTGATGCACTTTGGTTTAATTTTACTAGGTCATATGTGTTTAAAGTTTATTCATTACTTTTATATTTTCCAACTTAATGAAATATACATTAAAATATATTATTTATATATATATTGAAATATGATTATTCTCTGAATTTCACTGGTGCCTGTCATATGACTCCCTTTTCATTTCTAATTTTGTAGATTTGATTAGAGAACTTGGCAGTATTGTTTTTCTTTTCAAAGCTCTTGGTCCTTTTTCATTGATTTTTTTCATGTCCATATCATTAATTATACTTATTTCTGTCTACTGATTTTGCATTTCACGCGTTTTTGTTTCTTTAAAGCCCTAGGCACATCACATTATTATTTATTTGAGACTACCTTGAATTTCTAATGGAGTCACTTGTAGCTACTAACTTCCTTCTTAGGATTATTTTAATTGTAACCCATAGGTTTTGGTGCATTGTGTCCTCATATTTTTTTAATTCTTGGAATTCTGAAATTTATTTCTTGATTTCTTCAATGACATGTTTAACCTAAATACATTTTTTAATGCTGTTAGTAATCAGTATTACCACTGCTTCAAAAGTTAGCGGGATTCTTCCTCTTCCTCCTCTTCCTCCTTCTGCCCATCATTTGAGATTAGATCCTTAATTGATGACTGCAGAAAATATTTGGTTTCAGAATAAATCACAGACCTGAACCTG